CAGTCCTCTTTCCAATTTCCTCCAGCCATCCACAGCCAGAGCTTTGTCCTGAAAGGAAATCGGAGATGCCAGGAAAGGGAAAAATAGCCGAGGGTGATCGCCTTTGCATCCTCACTGTTGACGCAGTTGAGGAAGTTTCCTGGCCAGGCACCAGGATGTAACCACTGATTCGAACCCCAGGAACTTGTTCTATGGATGATGAAGTCTGGGGTTGCTGATTGAGCAGACAATAAGGCAACATCATTTGTAGTTTATTGGAAAAAGTGAAGAGACAGCAATTCCTACACCTGATAGACCGGGCAGGCATCTCAGTTAAGGGCTGAGAGCAGCACTGGCACAGATCAGCATCAGCTGCTTCACAGACAGGGAAGATGGGAGCGGCTGGGGGCAAAGAGCAGCTGGGGCAGTTGTTGAGAGCAAAAATGGGTCATAGGGAGTCGAGAAGGAGGGTGAGGGGAAGAAGAAGGGGACTGAGAAAAAAGGTTTGGAATGTAAGCATGTTTTAAGTGAGTGCCAAGGCAGCACAAGGAATAGAAGGAGGTGGAGGGGAATGTTTAGCAGGATCAAAGTCAGGCTCAGGCTTTAGCTGGCTCAGGAGTTTGACTTCTTCATTTTTTTTCTAAGGAAGAAAATCTGATAGGCAACAGAAGGAAAGGCAATTATGGAGAGATATACCTGAATGTAGGGAACCTCAGACCATCTGTCATTTGTCTGTGTAAAGCTATCAAGATCAGAGAGAATTTTGAGGTCAAAATTGCTGAATTTTAGCCATTTAGAATCAAGTCATACCTAGGCTAAGCTTTTGTACAGAGGAAGATGAATCATTTTTGCCTGATCACTCCCTGTAGGCCTAACCATACAGGTATTTTTTTCCCAAAAGAAACCTTTTACTTAAGGAGTATAAATTTCATAAGTACAACTTTAGGAATATAGTGATTCTTCTAACCATACCTTCCCTCCCACCCACACTCCCACCACTCCTCCTCCTCCTCCTCCTCCCATTCCTAGTGCCATTCTCCATTAAGATTCATTTTCAATTAACTTTATACAGAGAAGACCAACTCTATAGTAAGTAAAGATTTCAACAATTTACACACACACACACAAAAAAACTGTTTGAGAACAAGTTTTACAGTTAATTCTTGTAACACAACTCATTGAGGACAGAAGTCTTTCATTGGAAGTTAGTACACAGTGGCTCCTGTTGTTAATTTCACAATTAATACTTTAACTGTGATGTCAGTGAAAACCTGAGGCTCTTGGTATGAGCTGTCAATGCTATGGAAGCCTTTTGAATCCAGAAACTCTGTCAGTATTTAGACAAGGCTTTCAGAGAAAAGTAATCCTTCTTTTATGGCCCCTTCTTTCCAGTAACTTGGCTTTCCATACATGAAATGCTTTCATGGGCTTTTCAGCCAGACTAGAATGATTAAGGGCTGATTCTGAGGTCAGAGTGCTATTTAAAGCGATTATCATTCCATGAGTCTGTGTGTGGACTGCTTCCCATGTTGGAACATTCTCTCCTTTTTAACTCTATCTATTATTATTATCAGACAATAGATGTTATTATATGATCCCTTTAACACCTAATCCTATCTATATAATCACTTTAACACTTAATATGATTACTTTAACATTTAGGATGGCATTTTTACCACCCAGCTTAATGGGATTTGGGGTCCCATGGCAAGTTTTTAAACTGTACCCATGGGGCCAGTGCTGTGGCGCAGCAGGTTAATGCCCTGGCTTGAAGCACCGGCATCCCATATGGGCTCTGGTTCAAGACCCAGCTACTCCACTTCTGATCCATCTCTCTGTGAAGGCCTGGGATAGCGGTGGAGGATGGCCCAAGTCCTTGGGCCCCTGCACCCGCATGGGAGACTGAGAAGAAGCTCCTGGGTCCTGGCTTCGGATTGGCACAGCTCCAGCCGTTGTGGCCATCTGGGGAGTGAACCATTGGATGGAAGATCTCTCTCTCTCTCTCTCTCTCTCTCTCTCTCTGCTTTATGGCCTAGTATGTGGTCAAGTTCCATGCACTGGTAAGAAAAATGTGTATTCTGACACTATAGGAGTTAAAGTTCTATAGATATCTGTTAGGTCCATTTGGTCTATAGTGTCGATTAACTGTTGTTTTCTTGCTGGTTTTCTGTCTGGTTGATCTGTTCATTGCTGAAAGTGGGGTATTTCTCCTCACCATTACTATTGTATTGGAGTCTATGTCTCCCTTTAGCTCCCTAAACATTTCTTTTACATAGCCAGGTGCCCTGCAATAGGTGCATATATTTTTATAATAGTTACATCTTCCTGTTGAATTCATCCCTTAAGCATTACATAGTTCCCTTCTTTGACTCTTATAACAGGTTTTGTGTTAAAGTCTATTTTGTCTGATATTAGGATGACTACACCAGCTCTTTTTTAGTTTCTGTTAGCATGTAATAACTTTTTCCATCCTTCTCCTTTCGGTCTGCATGCATCTTTGTTGGTAAGATGTGCTTCTTGTAGGCAGCAAATAGATGGGTCTTATTTTTAATCCATTCAGCCAGTCTTTGTCTTTTAACTGGAGAGTTGAGGCCATTTACATCTACAGTGACTATTGATGAATAATGGCTTTTCCTTGCCAGTTTACCATAATATTATGATTTTTTACTTTGGATTCTTTTTGTGGGAGATTTTCTTTCTTTACATTCTTTTGTATTGATTATCATGTTTCTGCGTTTCTGTGTGCAATATATCCTTAAGCATCTTCTTTCAATTGCTGTTTGTCAAGGAAGTTCTTTATTTCACCTTTGTTTATAAATGAGAGCTTTGCAGGATATAGTATTTTGGACTGACAGTTCTTTTCGCTCAAGACTTGGAATATATCTTGCCATTCTCTTCTAGCCTGCAGGGTTTCTGATGAGAAGTCTTCTGTGAGTCTAATTGGAAATCCTCTGAAAGTAATCTGGCACTTCTCTCATGCACAGTTTAAAATCTTTTCTTTATGTTTCACTGTGGTGAGTTTGATTACAATGTGTCATAGTGATGATCTTTTCTGGTCATATCTGTTAGGAGTTCTATGTGTGTCTTGTACTTGGATGTCCCTTTCTTTCTCCAAATTAGGGAAAATTTTTGTTATTATTTTACTAGAAAGGCCTTCTAACCCTTTCTCTCTTTCCACACTTTCAGGTACTCCTAGAACCCATCTGTTGGACCGTTTGATAGTATCCTGTATATTCCCAACAGTGTTTTTTAGTTTTCTAATTTCTTCTTTGTGTGTTTGGTCTGACTGTATTATTTCCTGTGCTTTGTTTTCTAAGTTGGCTATTCTTCCTTCTGCTTCACCAATTCTGTTGTTAAGGCTTTCCACTGAATTTTTTATTTGTTATATTGAATTATTCATTTCCAAGATTTCATTTTGATTTCTTGATTTCTTGGGAGAAATTTTCTTTCGTGTCATGTATGGATTTCATTAGTTTGTGTATTTGCTTCTGATTACTTCTAAGCAATCCTATGATCAATTTTTTGAATTCCATTTCTTCTGTCTCATCATCTTCCCAATCTAGTATTGAAGTGTCATACTCTTTTGGGGGTGTCATGTTGTCTTTCTTATTCTTGTTTCTTGGATTGGTGTGATTGTTATTTGGCATTTGTGGAGATACTCTTTTTTTTTCTTCTTTTTTGCACTATGGTGGTTTTTAATCTTTGTACTATGCCTCTGTATATATGAGGAGTGTCTGCTTTCAGTGAATACCTAGAGGCATGTTGTGGGAGTGGCCAGGGAGCTCTGTTCAGTTCTCCAAGGTGAAGGGTGTGTCTGATGTGACACATCCAGGTTTGGTAAATCAATCTCTCTTTCTCTCTCTCTCTCTCTCTCTTTCTCTTATCAGAAGGGAGGTTTGTTCTTGTCTGTTGGTGTAGACTCAGCTGAGCTCATCTCCTCAAAGGAGACAAGTGCCTAGGTGCTAGCCCCAGTGGATATATTATTCATCTGTTCTGTCACAAGGACCACACAAAGGATCTGTTCAGTCCTCAGTGTAAGCTCATATTCCCCAGAATGTCCCCTACCAGGTAATCAAGGAGCTCTGAGCATGTGGAACCTTCCACAGTGAATGCCCAAAGTCCCAGTCACACTCTGAGTCCTACGCATCCTCAGTGTTTTCACAGTCCTGGAACACATGCATCCCACAGCCACGAGCATTCAGCCCCCTGTCTGTTCTCCCCACCAGACTCGGGAGTCAGCTTTGCTAGTTGCTGGGTGAGGACACAAGCTGGCACAGCTATTACATATGTTCAAAATGGCAGCCGGCACCGCGGCTCACTAGGATAATCCTCCACCTTGTGGTGCCGGCACACCGGGTTCTAGTCCCAGTCGGGGTGCCGGATTCTGTCCCGGTTGCCCCTCTTCCAGGCCAGCTCTCTGCTGTGGCCAGGGAGTGCAGTGGAGGATGGCCCAAGTCCTTGGGCCCTGCACCCCATGGGAGACCAGGATAAGTACCTGGCCCCTGCCATCAGATCAGCGCGGTGAGCTGGCCGCAGCGTGCGGCGGCCATTGGAGGGTGAACCAATGACAAAGGAAGACCTTTCTCTCTCTCTCTCTCTCTCTCTCTCACTGTCCACTCTGCCTGTCAAAAATAAATAAATAAATAAATAAAAAATGGCACCCGCTCTCTATCAGCTTGTTACCAGACGCTATTGTAGGGTGATTGGGGAGAGAGAAACACGCCTCCCCTTGTTTTTTTCACCTCTAGTTTGGCAGGTACACTATCCCCATTAGTGCATCACCTAAGGAGCCTCATGCAACTGGAATCTTCTGGAAAAGAGTGATAGTGACTTGCAGGACAGGCATCCCTGTTTGAAATTGGGATGAGTTCCCCCCATGTTGGACCTCCTGGAGATCTCTTCCTGTTTCCGGAACAAAAGGAAAGGGAGAATGGGGCCAAAATCTACCCTAGATCTCCTGAAGGCAGGAGGCACTGGCCCCTCTTCTCCAGTATGCTTTTAGGAGATGGAGGCTGACTTACCAGTCCCATGGGCTGAAAATCAGATCCGACACTGCATGCAGAGGAGAGTTCCAACAAAATGCCTCTGGCTGTGAACCTGCACAGAGACCAGAAAGCGTAAGTGCAGGATGAGGACTTGAGAAACCAAGCTGGTTTTCAACTCACTGGGGGAGTTCTGGAGAGGCGTGTCCCAAGCCTGCCAGAGTCACTCCGACCGGAGTCACTCCAAGAAGGGTACTCCAGGGGAGAGGCACTCAGCCAGAAGTGGCAGTAAAGGAGAGAAATCAGTGTGGACCTGTCGCCGCAAGTCTTCAGTACCATTATGTCAGGTTTTAGGATTTTAGGGTTTGAAGAAGGCGAGGAGGCAGCTTGTTAAAGTAGAGAAGACTTTATTTTAGAGGGGAAAGAATGGGGGAGGGTAAAGAGAGAGTGGGGGCTGAGCCTACCTAGACAGAGCAGGGGGCTTGAAGCCAGGCTTCGTTCTGTTTGCACAACAGGCAGAGTCCCTTCTTAAGCTGCTTGTTGGGGCAGGTGCAGAGTGCCGCATGGATGCTGACAGGTGGGTGGGGAAGGTGCAGGAAGGCTCCTTGGTGAGGTTTACAGTGTGTTGTCTCAGCAGTTTGAAATGTCCCAGGTGCTGGGCTTTTCCAAGCCATAAACATCTTGGCAGCCTGTAGATTCTCTGTGCCCAGTTTCATGGGGCCTGGAGCTTCCAGCCCAGTGACCTAATGGGTTCTATCAGGCCCTGGTGGCCTCATGGGTTCTAACAAGGCTAACCAAGGAAAAACCATAATCAGTAAATTATCTGCCAGAATCAACACATTTAAGAAAGAGAAATAACACAAACTCTGCTTTTAATTTTTAGGATAATTTTAAAATTGGATATTGAATAGTTGTTCACCACTTGGAAACGAGCAGAATCATTTCTCCCACTTCATCCAATACAGAAAAATCAGTTCTGGTGCAAAATCAGTGTGTCACATGTGTACTAGACAAAAACAAATTTTCATGGGCTATGTTGTGGCACAATGGGTTAAGCCACTGTCTGCAGTGCTGGCATCCCATGTGGGTGCCACTTCAAGTCCTGGCTGCTCCGTTTCTGATCCAGCCCCATGCTAAGTGCCTGGAAAAGATGGCACAAATCTTTGGACCCTTGCATACACGTGGGAGACCTGGAAGAAGCACCTGGCTCCTGGCTTTGACTTGGGCCAGCCTGGCCATTATGGTCATTTGGGGAGTGAATCAGTGAATTAAAGATCTTTCTCTGTCTCTTCCTCTTTCTCTCTGTAACTCTGCCTTTCAAATAAATAAAATAAATCATTAAGAAAAAAAAGTAAGAAAAGCCTAAATTAATAATCTGATGTCAGGCCGGCGCCGCGGCTCACTAGGCTAATCCTCCGCCTTGCAGTGCCGGCACACCGGGTTCTAGTCCCGGTCGGGGCGCCGGATTCTGTCCCGATTGCCCCTCTTCCAGGCCAGCTCTCTGCTGTGGCCAGGGAGTGCAGTGCAGTGGAGGATGGCCCAAGTGCTTGGGCCCTGCACCCCACGGGAGACCAGGAGAACTACCTGGCTCCTGTCATCGGATCAGCGCAGTGCGCCGGCTGCAGTGCGCCGGCCGTGGCGGCCATTGGAGGGTGAACCAACGGCAAAGGAAGACCTTTCTCTCTGTCTCTCTCTCTCTCACTGTCCACTCTGCCTGTCAAAAAATAAATAAATAATTAATTTAAAAAAATAATCTGATGTCAAACTGAGAAAACGTGAAAGCAAAAAGAGAAATACATAAGGAAAAGATTGAAAGATTTTTAAATATCTAAACAAGGATGGGGGAGGGCTTAGGAGAAAACTTTGGCAAAACAAAATTTTCCAGCTCATCATCAAATTAAAAGGCAAATATCAAACCAAGGAAATGATTGCAACGTATTGGCGAGGAAGGACTGCCTGCCATCTTTGCCGTGGTGCTGTGGGGAACCGGAGCATGGCCTGCAGGAAAGCCAGAGACTCCCACGCTCGCCTTGGGAAGGAACAGCACACATCATTACATCCTTTGTAAAGAACATTGGGGACAGCATGGACAAAAACAGAATCTCAAATTAGGAGCTCATACCCTTCGGTTCAGAGAGAGAACCAGTGATGTACAAAAAGATTGTTACACAAAGATACAAGGGGATTTCCAAAAGAATGTGGGAAAGTAGAACTCAAAGGTAAGTTTATTTTGGTTCGGAAAAGATTTCAAAATCCATGTGTGGTTTTATCATAATTTGCATTTTTCATGAATTTATTAAAGTGCCCTCATATCTACCATGGTTTGTAGTAGTGAGCACTTCAGAAAATTTAAAATTTCTTCAAGTAAGAAAGTACCTCAATAAAAATCAATCCATTTAGACTCATGCCTTAAAGGAATATTTCATAAAAAGAAAAATGTTCACAGTACTTGAAATGATAAAATCCAGTGATTAGGGGAAGGTATTTGGCACAGCAGTTAATGCACCATTTGGGATATCCAGTATCCTATATCAGAGTTCCCGGCTCAAGTTCCAGCTACTTCACTTCTGCTCCCAGCTAATACATGCCCTGGGAGCTAGCAGGTGATACTCCAGCAGTTGGGTCCCTACCTCTCACATGGGAGACTTAGATTGGGTTCTGGGCTCCTGGCTTTGTCCTGGTCCAGCCCTGGCTTTTATAGAAAGCTCTGTCCTCTCCTTGTCTATCTGTCTTTGTCTCTGTCTTTCTTTCTGTCTGCATTTAAAATAAAATTAAAATAAATTTAAAAATGTAAAGAGGAAATGATTACAATTTTATAAAGTGAAAAGTCTATATGTAACAGTGGTTATAACTGGATACAATTACAAACGGTTCTTACATTTTTCCTCTTTGTAATTTTCTGTGTTTCTAAATTTTCTAAATAAATTGTGTGTGTGCATGCACACACTTACTATTGTGAAATAGCAGACCAGTGGATAGTGTTTTAGGCATCTCCTATTCCATTCCCAAAACATACACATTACCCACATCTTGTTGGAATCCCACAAGGGTCTATAAAAATCGAGACTGCACAGGTGGGTTGCCAGCTCAGCTTTCTTAATGAGAAATCGAGAAGTAAATGGTAAGTTTGATGAAATCATTTCTTCATAAAGATGTCAATATTACAGAAGACAGATAAGAACTTAAATGACTACAAGATCAAAGACTCTCCATGCAACAAATTCACTAGGAGAGGAGGAAAATTTTATAGACTGAATTCTTTCTTTGAAGCCAGTTCCCTGTGAGTGTCCAGTTTAATGACTGCTAAAATTATATCTGCAATTTCTGAATGGTTTGCTTACTTTTCAAGTTTGTAAAACAGCACATCAACAATTCTCAATCAGTGGGATAGCATTTCTCCAGGGAGCTATGAAAATATACCTTGCATTTTAAATGCAGTCAAAAGCATGACTAGACATGCCTCTGTTTTTCATAACACAGAAGTACCACATCTGTTCATTTAAAAATGCATTATACAGAGTTGTACGAATGCCAGATACTTATTACAGAGAACTGTTTTATCCATTTAGTCCAATTTTCCAGATGTTTTATTACATGGAGTCAGGAAAATTGTTGAAATTGGTGATTGAAGGCCACTTATTTCAAGGGGCTCCTCTGCAAGCCATAGGAAACATTTGAAGGACAAGTAATTTACAACAGGCCACAAGGCAATGCTTGAGTAGGGATGTCAGCTCACTGGGCCACAGATAATCCCAACACAGGGCAAAACACCCTATTTTAGTAACTCCCAGCTTCATTTGCAAAAATTGCCTCTTAGGCAAGCACTTAGTTGTTATTTCAAATGCAAATGTGTAGGTACTGTAATTGGAGCAATTTTCATAATAGTAGGTCAAGTTGGCAGTGACATTGAAATCGGCCTATGTTGGCTGTGATTGGAGGCCTGGTTCTCATTGTCTACAAGCCAGCAAAATTCTCACTTGGACCAGTTGGAAGTCTCCCCCCTCATAATGACAATAGGATCAGGTTCAACAGGAGCAGGTGCTGCTTCCTCCACCCCAACTCATAAGTTGCTCTCCTTCCCCAATGTGCCCCTCTGCAATCAAAGTCCTAATAGACTGCCTGCATTTCACAATAGCCACTGTGAGGCATTAGCAGAGCTGTCCCTGGCAGGCACAGTCACTGATGCTAATTAAAAGGCACCTCACTGTGGCTAATACTCTCCAACTGTCAATCAACTTGCTCAGAACAGCAGTTGGTACAGGTTTGAGGGGTAGTGGGATCTTTTTCAGATTCACTTCTGTGAAGTTAGTGTGTCTGTCTTTGCTTCACATGTGTTGTGTAGAAAAAGCTCTCAGGGTGTGATAGAGATGTGTTTTCAAGCTACAAGGACCACACTGCAAACCTATCTAAATCTCTGTCTAAACCAAGCACTTGATAATTTATTTTCTGCTGTTTTTGTTATTCTTGTAAATGCTGATAGCCTTGGGCATTAAAAACTGTGGAATCTGTACATTATCTCCACGACAACTTTGCCATTCAGGTTGTATATTTGAGGGGCCTTAAGAAAAGCTTATGAAGGGGCATGCATTTGGTGCAGTGGTTAATATCTCAGTTGGGATGCCTGCATCCTATGTCAGAGTGTCTGGATTAGAGTCCTGGCTCCATTCCTGATCTAGCTTCCTTCTAATGTTCACCCTGGGAAGCAGCAGGGGACAGCTCAAGTATTGGGGTTCCTGCCACCCATGTGGAAGACCTGGGTAGAATTCTAGACTCCTGGCTTTAGCCTGACCCAGGCCTGGCAGTGTGGGTCTCTGGGGAGGGAATCAATGAGTGGAAGATCTCTGTCTCTCTGCCTTTCAAATAAAAACAAATAAACGTTTTAAGAAGTTCATGGAAAATATGCATTATCTTTTAGTTCCTCTTTTCCATGAGCTTTCTGAAACCTCCTTAAGTAACAGTACAAAAGAGTCTAAGACCAAATTCTGCCAAACAGGACAATATTTATTAATGAGCAAGTATATAAATGGTCATACATGTTCTGGCGTTGCGGCTTAGTGGGTAAAGCTGCTGCCTGTGACACTGGCATCCCATATGGACGCAGGTTCATGCCCCAGCTGTTCCCCATCCAATTCAGCTCCCTGTTAATGGCCTGAGAAAGCAGCAGGAGATGGCTCAAGTGCTTGGGCCCTTGCCACTCATGTGGGAGACCTGGCTCCTGCCTTTGGCTTTGCCCAGTGCCAGTCATGTGGCAAAAGGATCTTCCAGCAGATGCAAGATCCTTTTCTCTCCTTCTGTCTTCCCCTCTCTATAATTTTGCCTTTCAAATGAATAAATCTTTTTAAAAAAGATTTGTCTTTCTTCAGGCATTCCAGTTCTTTGCCTGAGCATTCACTCCAAGGAGGAACAATATTCTGATGACTAGATTAGCCAAATTTATAGTTCAACTAGTGGACGGAAGGCAGAGAGAAGGAATATGTGGCTAACCGAGCCTTGGATGATCAGATGTTGCTCCAAAGGCTTGAGCTGAGTTTGTTGGAGTCCCATATTGGCTTGTGTTAGGGCAATAGAACCGCTACAATTTTTCCAGTCAGCCATAGATTTCAACTTGTGTTTCACCAACCCTTTCAATCAGTCCTTATGATAGTTAGCCAACTGTGTTGCTACAGTTTGAAAACTCAAAAAAATGTTCAAATGCCTACTTCTAGTTAAAAATATAATGGTGGCTACCAGAAGCTGGGGAGGGAAGTGGGGTGAGAGGGTCAGGGAGTGAGTGACTGATAGGTACTAAGT